TCCCTTCCCAATTTCTCTCCAATGTTCGTTCCTCTCCATTAAGTGGATCGTGCAAAGCCTGGAACCTATTGATGAGGGCTATCTTGAATTCGTTGAGTTTTACGGTATCCTGAAGAAAGGCTGTGTGATGTTGTCTGCCCCGTTGTCCAGTTTTTCTTCAGTTTCAGTTTCATTTTGGCGATCAGCAAGTGGTGATCTGAGGCTATATCAGCTCCTCTGTTGGTTCTCACATCCTCCATGATCCTTCTGAATTTGTAATTGATACAAATATGGTCGATTCAGTTCAGAGTAGTGTGATCTGATGAAATCCATGTAGCTTTATGGATGTGTTTGTGTGGGAATATTGTACCGCCGATGACCAGTTTGTTGAAGGCACATACGTATGCAAATCTCTCACCGTTCTCGTTCCTTTCTCCCAGTCCATGTCGTCCCATGATGTCTTCATATCCAGTGTTGTCCATTCCAACCTTATCATTCAGGTCTCCCATAAGAATGGTCAAATCCTTTGGTGAACATTTCTCGACGATTGACTGCAGCCTTTCGTAGAATTGATCTTTAACGTCGTCATTGTAGTCGTTGGTAGGTGCATAACATTGGATGACGTTCATTGTGATGTCCTCTTTCTTTATTTTAAAGGATGCTTTAATGATCCGGGGTCCACTAGATTCCCATCCTATCAGTGCCTTTTGTGCATGTTTGGACAGCATCAGTGCAACTCCTTGTGTATGTGAAGCATTTTCCTCTTCATGACCAGAGTATAACAACAGTTCCCCTGAAGCTAGTCTCAGTTGTCCTACATGTGTCTAATGCGTTTCGCTGATTCCAAGCAGATCTAGGTTGTATCTTTTCACTTCTGCAGCAACTTGAAATAGTGATCCAGTCTCCCACAATGTTTGAACTTTCCACGTACCTAAAAGAATGGTTGCTCTGGTTGTCAGAATGGGCATCAACGTCGTGACCTCCGATGGAACTCGGCGTTCATCATGAGAAGTCATAATTCTTCTTCCATCTCCCAGAGCGCATTTTGGCAAGTTAGTTTTTTTGGTGGGATGGGTTCGCCGACCCCATGCCTTTATCCAGACCCCGAGGGTTCTACAGGCGGAGTTCTCATAATTTCTGCGCTTGATAATATGACATTCGGAATCGTCAAGAAATGCAATGGCTACGGAGAGAAAGCTGTCTTTGTCCCAGCAGTAATAATGGTACAATCACATGTATCCACTTTTACTAAACCGTTTGAAAGCCGAAAGTATTAGAATCTTGTAAGCTTAGTGGTACCATCATTTGCAATCATCGCGTTGCATTCCACTTTTCACAGGGTATCTGCAGGCTGGACATGAAGCTTCCTTTTTCGTCGTCCAGCCATCATTCAGAGGTTGGCAAACGATATGTATACAAAAATCTCGGAATTAAAAACTGATAGCCACAAAAAAGTGGACTGAAAACTATTATGTCCAAAATCACAAACAGAAAAAGCCGATGTTATCAATAGAAGTAGAAAATAAAATTATGCTTGAAGAAAACTGTTTTCTTGGTGTTACTTTGAGTGAAGTTAATCCGAATGACGTATAAACAGTTGTCTTGGTGCGTAATAAACGGTCAAGACAATGAATTAAACTCAGTGGGAAAAAATATCATAATCCATTTAAATAACGCACGTTATTTAGTTTGATTTGAACATTATCAACAATGACGCACATTACCTCTGATTCTTTTTGTTTTACGAAGGACTATTTTTATGTCATACATGAATAACGAAGCTTGGATAAATAGTTCCAGTTACATGGCTGATATGATGGACTGATATCTATCCAGTTCAGATGATGAATGTTCATTACGTACTTATTTTCTAGAATTGCTTCCCTGCCTCACCACTTCAGATAGCTTACTTCTTTACGTGTCTTTTTACCCCTGCTACCAATTTTTACTCTATTCAAGCGATCTGTATAAAAATTCGATTTAGGAAAATTATAGTTGTTGTCAAATATACAGCTTTTGCTAGGTGGTTATCCAAACAAGTTAGTTATAAGAAGCACTTCTATAATAAATAGTAGTACTGGGACCCTCATTAGAGAGTGATTTACACTTGTTAGAAACTATTACGCATGTGAAAGTAACGACAATATCAAACACATCACAGTTAATTTTTCGTGTGCATATTTCTATGTAATTAACTTTCATATATGTACATATTATAGTGAATGTAAGCATATGTACTCCGATGTATTTGTTTCTCATGCAAGAAAACATAGATTCATTCGGATATATGTAGATATTTACTTGGTAAATTCATTCATTCCTTGGCTTTGCTGTTTGCTTTTCGCGGTGATTGAGTAATAAGTTGGTCTTACAACTTGTTTTAGACACATATCATATATGGCGATAACTGTAGTCTACTGTTATTCGAAAAATAGAATCACCACGCTGTTAAACACTACAAATCGTTAATTATAATTTAGTGTGAGGAATTAAGTGAAAGATTATGTATCGATTTAAAATATCATTTTAGATAATTAACTTGATTTTATAATTTATTCAGCATGAACTTAACGTCTCTGACTCACTTTCATTGTAAGTATTAACTGTTTGTTATTCTGTTTGGTTTGATAATTTTTATGATTAATAATCACATAATTGAATCGGTTTAAACTGAATGAATTAATATGCAGTTGAAATCTTCCGAGGTCTTTACCAAGTGACTCCTCTTTTCAGGATGTGCCTGAGATGTGCTGGGTCTAGAAGGGAAGGAAGTTGTTGTGTCCCACTATCTGAAGAGATAAGGATGATAATGTAAACCAATCAGTATGGTAATTTACAAGAAACTGTATAAATGAAGATCCTCACTCGAGTTAATCCAAGTTGTTCTCAATGTGCCTATTTAGGTTCTATGATTATTAATCTATGATTTGTCAGAGTATTAAATGAAGTGGATACACGAAAACGAGTTTAAAAATGTCGACACTGAAATAGGTTTGACATAATTTTTCCCTTCTAGGTGAATACTGAATTTGAATGAAACAAATGATCAGATGTTACTAACAAAAGTAATTGAATTAGGTATGTTCACTATTATTACATAGCAGTGTCGAATTTTTACCATATCCTTCACACATGACTAAGTACTGACGTCGGAAAGAACTCTGTGAGCACAATTGAATGTATGGTGTTTCGGAATTTGAATTTGACGCAGAATAATTTCCTAAGAAATCGTTGTTGCCTACAAGCGCCACACCTTCCATCACTAATGTTTGTAGGATTTATTGTTCTTCTGAACTTCAGGTAGAATTTTATGCTGATGATGTTATTCAGAAGAAGAACAATGAAAGCTGCATTACCAAAACATACAGAGAATGAAACTCCATCGCGATCATCCATCTGAGCAACAAATTTTATCCACCATCTCAAAACTTAGCGCCGCGTGACACTGAAAATACTTGAACATATCAAAAGGTCCCATTTATTTTATTTAAGGCTAATGTATTAAGTGATCTAAACTGATTAGTTTATTTTTTCTCCCGGTTAAGACATTCTGCTTTATGAAATTTTATCCGATAACGAAGGGGAAAGTTAGTTTAATGACCTACATTTTGACAGATTTTTGTACTCATCAGTATCGTACGAGTTGACTGACGAACCGAAATACAGACAAAAGATGTTAATTTTCAAATGCATCACCGTCACTTATTTTATGATGGTACCTTGAGAGTGGTGGTGAGTTTCCAACGTTTATATTGCAGACATAAAACTATTAAAATGTGATCAACTAGTCTTTAATCTCATAGCTTAAGTCGTGGACTGATCTTAGTTTTACAACCATTGAGAACCATGAATTACTAGACGGTTATTCCATCCTATCATGAGACGCCTCATTGATGCCCATCCGCAATCCCTCATCCAGAAATCGGACTCAGGACTCTCACTTTGGCACTCAGTCGCTTAACCTTTAGACTACCGAACCGGTATCCAACGTCTTAATATTTAACTTTAACCACTTCGTTATTTAGGCTGTGAAAATTCTACTATTTCCAAACATTCCCCAAGGTTGATGATTTCTAATTGTATGAGAGGACTTTAAATTAGTTTTAATGACTGGTGACCTTAAATCACTAACTCTTTCTGAAATGTTGGTTTTCATATTAAATAACACCGTCAAACCTGAAAATGGTGGTACTATTTTGTATCTTTCAAAACAACAGTCTGGTTTTGTTTTTATTCAGAATATGTACACTTCATGAGTGTAACATAAGCTGCGTTAATAAAATCGTCATTTAGTATCCTGGACTACTTTTGTTCAGGAACCCGCATCTCATTATCAAAATCTTAACATTTAAATTAATTAATATATTTTTCTAAATGTCCTAGGAGTACAAAAATATAGAGTCGAATAGTATGCAAATCAGTGCTACTTCATGAATCAACAGATTGTTTCAGTCTTCTGCTTTTACTAAAGTAAGTAAACACATTTTAGTACATTCTCACTTCAGGTTTGGTAACAACAACAAAGTTGTTACGATGAGGTTCTTTCCTTCTTTCGTTTATCAACACTTTTCTGAAGTTAAAAGTTTGTTTTATAACTTCTTCACTTCATTTTTGATTTTCTATTCCTATATGAAGTATGAAACTGAAGAAGTTTTTGCAAAGTTACATTTATTTTCCTAGTTAACTATCAAACAAATGACTGAATGTTGATAGTTCTCTGCTGTAGTATTAAGAGTATATTTATTGGAAAATTTACCGGAAAGTAATCATAGTAGGGGCACAGATCAACCTTTGTGTTAAAATATTTTGGACTGTAGTCTTAATAAAATAGTTTCCGTTTTAGAAATAACTTGGAATGATGTGAATAAAATATTCATAGAATTTAATATTATTTCATTGAAAAATTATTTAACAAAGTTGCCATGAAAGGGATAATTAGACGACGATTGAGTATTTCAAAATGAAACATCTTCAAAATGCTCATTACTCCTTAAATATAGTCGCATTTTTATCAAAAAGTATCAGTGGTTCGCTTGTAGAAATTGCTTTCTTTGATGATCTATCAATTCTTCCAGATGTTGAGCTCTCTGATTGGCAGCGTCCAGTTCACGATCCTTCTTCTCAAGTTCATTTTGAAAAGTTTCTCGAAATACGCAGAATTTTTCGTCTTTCTTTTTAATGACTTCTTTAACTCTACAAAGAAACAAGAAAAGTTTATCTGCTTGATGGAGATGGCTTATATTTCCACCAGTAATAACTAAATTCTAAGTGGGAAAAAATAAGGGTCTTTATTTTATACAATGCATTTTATCTGTTTTACAAACGAAATTCAAAGATTTGATGGTCAATTTACTACTGAGAACAAATCCTTTACTTTTTTAAAAAGCATAACAACTCACTTTAACTCACATTTGTGGCTGATGTAAGAGAAAGCTTATACTAATGGTCGGGCGTGATAAGTGTGATTCGCTTACTTAAGAATGGCTTTTAGATAAACCTCAGGTGTTGTTCAAATTTGATTCAAAAGATATAACCGCATCTACACTTTCTGGAGTTTTTAACGAAAAACCGTTTTATTGTTCCTATTAATCTATTATCTTATCTGATTGGCTTTCTAGAGACTGACATGAACCAATTACCTCATCATGTAGTACACTAGTTCACAAGGTCCTATTTCACGAGGCAAACATTCATGGTGTTTGGATAAATAGCTAAGCAAAACTTAAGACATAATGCAATTTCAGAATAGAACTAGATAAATAATTTTGACTCCTGCTTAGTTATATTCTCAATTAGTATATATTTATCTACAATCATAAGCTACACTAAAATATTTGGAGATGTAGTGTTTGAAAAACGATCGGTCATGATGCTTTAGATCAACAAGAACTTCCTACTTTTAAATACATAAACTTACGAAGTAAACAATTTCCACTTTTTAGTTTGTGAGTTGCATTGGGATCAACAATCATCCTTTACGGGACTTGTCAACTAGATGACTTCCATGTCAGCCTACATGTTCGAATTGAGACTCAAACACAGTGCATGTTGCTTCAAATATCAACGGCTTGTCCAGACATCTACTGAATCCAATTAACCTAGTTCAGTGTATACACAGTTATTCTAAAAGTCTGTATTATCCTATTGTTAATGTTAAGAACTTCAAGCCATCAGTCTATATTGGGAAATAAGCATCCAGACACACAATAAACGGAGACGGAGACAGTCCACTCAGAGTACACTAATACCTGATACGGGACATTTATATCAACAATGCGAAAATGTAAATATTTGTGAACATTTTCGTTTATCATGCACAATCAAAATACAAAATGTGAAATACCTATAGTACCCTTCGATGGCTAGAATAAAAAGTGAAATGTTCCTCAGTTATAACTGCACGTTGTATACCTGTCATTGAAGTTCTTAGCACAACACCTTGTCAGGACTATTTCAAGCATCTAATACTAAATCTTGTGAATAACATTGAATAATAGGGTTGTTAAAAAATAGAAGAAACAAATAATGAGACTTAAAATTAGTGTTCGTTATTACTTTTGATGAACTGCTTCTATTTCTGAGTTGTTCAACTTCTTTATAGCATCAATCTCTTTTTCATGTCTCTCTTGTTCAGCTTTTATCCGAGCCTTGAATTCAGCTACCTCACGCTTCATCGACCTATTCTCTTCTTCCACGAAAACAAGGCGGTCAGCGAATTCCTGGCGTATTACATCTGAAATATTTTGACGTTCATGATTAAGTTTTTCATATAATAGGCGAACTTCAGCCAACTCCTGCTCTTTCTGCGTCAACTGTGACCGAAGTCTATCTGCTTCATGCTCTTTATCTAAATATTGGGTCTATAAAGAGATAAATACAAAAGAATAATATTCGCTGCACTGTTTTCAAATAACACTTGGCAAGTGTTTCACTTATATGATTAGGAGTATTTAGTTAAATCCAACTAAAAACAACAATGAATTGGATATTTTACGTAACTGAAAAGTTAAAGTTCCCGACAAAACTGTTTCTGGCCTAATTGTATGAAGATACTTAAAATTCAGTGAATTTAAAATGCTGACTCATCTATGAGTTACAAGTGAACGAATGATGATTATCGATCTTCGCGGAGTAAAATTTTACAGACCTTCATTTGACAATATTTTTCCATTGCTTGTCTTTCTGATCTTTCAAGTTCTTCGATTTCAGCTTGGAATTTTTCACGTACACGTCTGAAGTAAAGAATAATTAAACTGAACTGGTTCTGAGATATGAACTTACTTCACCTTCAGTTCTGCCTGACGATCAGTTTCTAATCTTGCTTCATTCGCTTCGGCTTCAAGGCGATGTATTGCAGATTCTATCAAGCGATCTCGTTCTTTCTTGAGTTGCTCCTTCAGTATAGTCTCTCTAGCAGTGTACTGGGATTCCAATAATGACTTAGTATGCTCTTCCCATGTTGTACGTTCAGCTAGATTACGTTGGTTCAACTCATCTATTTCATCCTAATAAGATGCCAAAAAAGAAATAGTAAAAACAACTGCTTCGCTTGACATTTTCAAAAATTTCAGTCCTCGTCTGGATGATGAGTAAGCATCAAGATCCAAAAATATCATCCAATGGTTAAAAATAAATGCCTACGGAACCTTATAATTATTTTCATTAGATTTATCTATCTATTAGATATAAATCATTCTGAAACAGATCATGGATAACTTCATGCACCGTACACATTTGCCTATAAATAACCGTTTCCAACCGTTCACAGTAGGTGTTCATGGATTTAGGAGCTAGGGACGAAATGTTTTCATAGACTTGAAGCCAATTCTGATGGGGTACTTATAGGACTCAAAGTGTAAACCAGGGTCAGGTAATCTTGAGTACCTATCTTCTATCTTGTCAAATTGACTGGTAGCACAATCCCATATCTTTCCCTTTTCCAAGGGTATCATCCCTCCTACGGGACATTTTTTAGTGCGAAAAGTTTCGAAATATCTCCTGATTCATCTGTGACCTTTTTTCACCCATCAAAAAAGTTTCTTAGCTGGTCAATAAAATATCTGTAGTCGGATCAACAAAGTTGATTATTCTAAATTGTCAGCATCATAGTGCACTCATCATTTTTGTTTGGGATGTCAATTTCCAATAATAAACCAGATAGGATTTTCCGAGAGATTTTTGTTGGTGTAGAATTGTCGACAGAAGCAGAATTACAATTAAAGATGAACTTTCTATCATTTCATATTACCAAGTAGTCATCGAAATCAAAACTATTTTCCTATGTATTCAGAATGAAGGATCATCCGCAGCAACCCAGAACTGTCCAGCGACATGACAGTTCATTCCACAACAAACTCGTTATCAAGTGGTAAGAACATCTTGTCGGTTGTGGATATAATTCTCATATATTTATTCGGTTGATAGAAAGCTGTAATCCAGTATATAGATTGTCAGGAAGTTGTAATCACGAGTTACTCCGTCTCTTTTATAAGAAAGATCCTTGCTTTTGCTATTCGATGACTAACTGGAAGAAAGCTACCCGCTCTTTATTGATTTTCACTGCTGAAATTTTTGTTGTCATCAGTTTGTGTATGAAAACTACGGAAAGAAAATGACCACCCAATAGATTTTCCATATGCCACGATGATTATTTGAGCAATCAGAACTTCTAGGTCAGTTAGTATAACTTACACTTCGAACTTAGAAGTTGATTTTAAAATGTTAATTGTATATATCATAGTTTTAGTGAGTGTGGTTAGGATGTACAGCGATTTGACCGGTGTTCTGAAATACTGCTTTTTGACATCATATCAGAACAATGTGGTACATCGATTCTCAAGTGTCAAAAGAATTGATAGTACCTACAAGTTAGACAAGAAGACCATGTTTCTATTCGAGATAGCAACATTAGATGCTTCTGTGGAGGTAATGCTGTTAATATTTGAATTTCTAGTTAGAAACTCTTCAAAACTAATTTGAAGGTCCTCAATTCTCTTCTGAGACAGTGTTTTTGAATAGATACGTGTGAGTTCTTGTAGATTTCATTTCCATTTGAATGCTGTTAACGAAGACAATACAATGTTCTTCCAGTATCTACAAGATAACCTTCATAATCGAGGAGAACAGACGAATGGATATCCGAAGCCACAAGCAATATTGTTGATGCATAATCACATGAACTGTGTGAGGATGATAATGAAGATTTAGCAGACTAAATATCATGTGTTCCATGTTAAGATGAGTGTTCTATCTATTTTTGAGTGACTACTGGTTCTATATAGGGCTGCTAGAAAATACGTTTTCAGTTATAAAAGGTATACTATGTAGCAGATGTGATGGAACCTAACTGCTCCCTCAGATACAAAATGCAGTTACCACATCAGCGTTTGATCAATTAAACCATTCAGTCCAATGTTACGAAGGATGGAGAATTTTATTTGGTGAAAATGTGAAACTCGGTGAATCATTCCAGCGAATACCAAATATGACAGTACACACAACAACATAATGATCAATCACCAAATATCTGCTACATATTAAGTCCACTTTCATCCCTGTACCTACTGATTCAGATTCAGCTACAAAAGTTTACTGGCATTGTCCATTTAATGCAGTTGATTATCCTAATGACAATTCAAACAACACATTGTCTGTCTCGGGAAACCATGAAATTGAAGAGATCAGTAACAACAGAAACGATTTTTCCGAAACTTATACCTGGATAAAACGACAGGGAGTACATGGGTGATGCGTACGCGAAGACTAAGTTACGCAGTGAAATTCCTGAGCATAGTGGGGAGTCTGATGAAAATTTTGACATTTGTGCGGAATGTCACTTTTTCCATCCTCCGATCAAGGAGAACAGTTTTGGTAATTGGATGAGATGTTTGCGGTGCAGCGCGTTAAGTCACTTTATCCTGTACAGACGGCCTAGGGAAGATTTCCTGTATATAGGATGTCGCCATTGTAGTATAAAGTTATGTTCCTGCTAATATCCCCACACTTAGTGATAATTTTTTTTACGTTGTATGTGTCAACACTTCTTCAAAGAGAACACAACATATCACCTTTAAGACCACCTCAACGAAATGGCTTAATAGTTAGTCTTATTCTTTTGTTACTCAAAGTACTAAAAGCAGCCAAGCCACATACTTTATATTCTGGATTATAATCGCTACCTGTTTACGTTTTTTAAAAATAAGTATTATTTATATTTAAAAATAACGTTTAAATTATGCATGTTTTCTTTTGTGACTAGTAAATTTTATAGACAGACTGACCTATTCACCATTCAAATGAGGATAACCAATAGTGATGCTTAGACATTGTTTTATTCCACCTATGATTAGATATCATTTTTGAAATTATATTTTTGATAACCAGTCTATTTTAATGAGTCGACCTAAATCTGTTAAAAAATTTGAATTATTTGACGATACAGACTATTTATTACAATATAATATATCCTGAAAATAATTATGGAATGTAGCCCGGTTTGCAGGCTTGATAAGGCATGATATCCTCACTTCATTTGTAAATGGCGAATGTATTAGATGTTAAAACGTTAATCATTGTTGCATGTCTATTTATATGCAACAATGAGTAGCTTATTTTTGCCGGTACTATAAGACCACACATATGTCTCAAATATGTGGATGTTACATTTATCATTACTTACAAGACTTCTCTTAGGAATTTCTGTAAACTGATAAATGCTTTCTTAGATCTCATCAAATTTACTTTCTGAGAGAAAAGCGAGCATAGTAAACTTTCGTTCTTAGACTGTGATGTTACAAGTTCTAATAAACACCTAATTTCGATCATATACCGTAAACTAAGACATTTAAATCAGTACATCGATTTCGACTAAGCACATATTCTTAGGATAAAAGTTTGTCTGGCTGTGAATCTTTTCAAGAGAGCTACCAAAATCATCACTTCAGATAAATATAAGCAAAGATAAAATATAATATAACGAACACCTTGCAATTACTGCTGCTACATAACAGAATAATTACAAAGCAATCTGGAAAGCTGTCTATAAGACAACTAACACTCTTCGGAGTGTTAGAATTAAGGAAAAGATTCCCTCTAAATTCATATAGAATTATGTCTACAGATTAGGTTGTGTCAACTGTGGTGGATTCTGTAATAAAGAATCCTTGTGAAATTTAGACTAGTGCCAAGGAGCACTGAAACTACCCAATAAAACCTAATAATTCTGTGAAGCTTGGAAATTTGCAAATTAAACCGGTGAAAGCAGTAAACGTTATTTCCAATAACCATCGAATCGATGTAACAAATGTTATAGATTCCTCTGTCCTCAGTAAGACAGAAGGCTTAACTATAAACGGGTTGCCCAAACAACCACCTTCATCTCTTAATTTTTCACATAATCTATACACACAGACTCAGATTGTTACCGTATTATTTCATACTACAAATTACACACTTTTCAAACCCACCATCATACACATAATAATCACAATGATATCTCATACAATATCAGTTTGACCAAAAATAACATGATATTACCATGTTCAGACTGATTTTGTTTTCTGTTGTACTAGAAATATTTTGCTTTGCTTCCTTTTCATTTATTAAACTTTTGTTAATTTTTTCTATTTATGTTTATTTATTTGTTTGGATATTCATCCAATATCCTAAGAGAATTATTTGTCAAATTTATGGTTGTTTTAACTGTCAAAGTCAAATACTTCAATGTTGTCTCTTATTGGTTGTCCTGACTATCAATGTCACTTCAAATGTTACTTGCTATTGGTCGTCTTAGCTGTCAATGCCACAGAATTCGATGCTGTTTCCTATTCGACCAAAATGTATGAATACGCATTATCCGTAACATTTTATGACCACGACCAGGACCAGGGCTCGGTCCCGGATCCCTAGTCCGGGATCCTGATTCTCTTCTGGATTCGGACCTCATATTTCTGGATGCTTGTAGAATACAGGTTCTACTTCATATCACGTCTTCTTATTTTAACTAAAAATGGGGGTTGGGATAATCGGATTTGAGTAGCATGTCGTGTCACCGGATCCTCGATTCTCGCTCTCGTTTTCCGACTAGGTAAACTCGTAATAGTTCAGGTATATCAAGTTGACGTGTTTACGTGAAGGCGTAACATTTATTCAATGAAATTATGAATGGATTATATTTATATACTCCGAAAAAATGACTTACAGTAAGTCTCGAAAAATCAGAAATCCAATTTCTACTGGTAGGGATTTCACAAAAGTATGATTACTTTATTAATATTCTTAACGCATATGAATGCGAAAAATGTGAAATTTACCATGTTACTGAATCATTTATGGCATATGTTTATCAATAAGTAGTTCAAAGCGGTAAAGCAAGTATCTAGCATTAGGAGGAGTAAACTTTCATTAAAAAGGCGTTTTCTTAGAGCACCGAACAATGTGTCGATTAAGAATAAAACACTGTAGTGGTCTTTGCTATCTCAAAGTCAATTATTACACAAGGATGATTATCTGACTGGTCTGATCCACATAATTAGAAAGTGACATCAAACTACTTATATGAGTGGTCTAAAAAAGTAAACAAGGGAGCATCCACTTATCATTCTAACTCCTCACCACCCCCTAACAGGAGCTAACCTAAACAGCAAAGACTTTCAAACTTGTTCAGATTATAGCAGAATGACGACATAATATGATAAACTACTCATCATCGACTTTTCAGGGAACAGCTTTTCCAACTAATACTGAGCAAGAATGAAGAATGCTTGATCTCTTCAGGTTGTTTAGTATTAGTAACTCTGGACATTAATATTATGGATATGTGTGCGACTTGTTTATGAATAGGATTAGAGTTTATTAGGGTTTTACTAGTAAATTTGATGAAACTGCTTTCAAATAACAATCGAATTGCGTAGTTATACTTAATAGTGCTTTGTACAAACTAATTATTCAGGATCACTAGAATCCCTGTAAGACATTAAGCCAGTACACATATTTCCAGCTGAGTTAGAAAACATTTGAAGAGGGGCATCATTAAATAACCAAAACTCAAACTGAGATAAGTTTACTCTTAAGTAAGTGTAGTGAAATATCACTCTCAGTATATTTTGACTAAAGGTGTACACAATGACCAAGCAGCTTAAAATAAAACTATGATGACATTTTAAACCAAATTAATAATCGTTCTGAATAACATTTATTCTGCTTCTTCAAATAATTTGCGATAGTACTATTTTATCATTATATGTTATAAGAACAGCAAGGAGAAGGTCTTACTGAAAACCTTGGTGTTGTCGGTTAGGAATCACAAGACCCTCTTATTCAGTTTGGAATTTTCTACATAAATATTATTTTAAATGACTGAAGGAAAATAAGTTGAATGAAGATGATGATTAAACATTTTCTATTTCCATTTGTTAAATTATTCGTCGACTGAATTTCAGTCAGAAGTATAAAGCTGATAACTGTGAAGCAAACACATATATATATATATATATATATATATATATATATATATATATATATACTGACCTTATGTCTTTGACTCAGAGCCTCTCTTAACTGTTGGATTTCCATTTTATGTTGCTCGTTGACTTGTGTTAAGGTAACTTCTAAGTTGCTTCTAAGAGTATCCATCTCGGCCCTTTGTTTCGATGCGGTCAATGCCAATCTTTCACGTTCATCAGAAATCTCATTTAACAATCTTCGTCGATGAGCTTCTAAAGAATTGCGTTCCTCTGTTAAAGTTTGGTTCAGTCTAAAGTTAGGTAAAATTTTATATTTTTCATTTATTATAAACCTAATAATATAATGAAAGAAACTAATAAAGATGAACAAATATTCGTCAAACTAAAAAAAGTTGTGTTTAGCTACCGTTGTTCAACAAGCACTCTTTCTCTAGAACAGGCTTCATCTTTTTCTTTTATCAGTGTCTGTCTGAGTTCTTCAATATGGTTCGTATAAGTTTGATAAGCGCGTACATCAGCTGCTTGAATTTGTTCAGCGCATGACTGACGCAAATTTGCTATTTCAGCTTTATGATTTGCGATCAGTTGGGCTACCTCATTTTCCATTCCACGAATAGTAGCTTCCTATTAAACCAAAATGAAATTCATAATAGAAAATATCAAAATATAATCAATTTCATGATGTGAAATAAAATAGAATTCATTTGTGTACAAATTTTCATTTGATTACGTTGATTACTTTCTCATTGTTTTCAGTATACGAAGTAATAAAAACATACAAAATAGCCTATAAAATTAATTCCATGAACATTCATATAGGTGAATTATCTCCACAATTAAGGGTTTATTGTATTAATGGACGTTCCCAGAAAAAAGAACTTACATTTCCTGAATGAAATACGAATGTATATGAATACGCATTCAATTTAATTAGTGTGATCGAAACGTTTTGAGGAATTATTTTTCTGTAAGAAATAAATTGAGCCACTTCGGTCTTCTAGAAAGTTAGACTGACAAATAATCACAAATTTGTAAGCCATTTTCAAATGTTACTACCCAGTTTTCGATCACTTTATCGTCGCAAATCAGGTTATCCATTTTTAGTGGTAGTTTTTTTGAATGCATAATAAAATGTAAATACATTCATTTACTTTTATACTCATATCCAATAACAACTTTTATACACCAATATAGATAGCTATCGAATAACTTATTAGGATACCAGATTCGAAGAGATAATAAATGTTTAGTCGAAATTAGTTAAAATTTTGAGGATTTAAATAAATGATCATTTGTAGAAGAAGAGAGAATAAATAAAACAGTAAACTGTTTTAAATAAGTTGTTTCTAAAATTGTATATATAACAGCTGTCAATCTAAAATAGCTGCTTATTTTTATTCGAACATACAAAAGACGCTATACAACGAATCCATACTAATTTCAAAACACCATAGCAAATTGTATGCTAGTTATACTCCAGTCTTTTCTATCCAAACATGTAGGTATTTTGCTCTTTGTATGTTTTGAAATCAAATGGAACAATTATCTAGAGTGATGATGGAAACCTTATAACAACCAAATACGAAAATTCGAGAAACATTCAACTACCATCAGTTAACATAAGCCTCGGTAATAATCTAAAACATTCACAATGAATGCTATCTGTGATCGCTTGCCATACAATTATAAAATAGTAGATGGATTTACTTCTGTATAATTGTAGGTAGTGTAACATAACACGATATGTACTGATTGCTAGGTGCAATATGAGTTAATCTAAAATACTACTCACTTTAAAATGTTTTGCTTTTTCTGCCTCCCACTTTTCTCGGCGTAGCTTTTCCGCGGCTGCATGTTTGGCCTCTACTTTTCTCATCTCAACTTTGTGTCTAGTTAAGAAATAATTGGAAACATTACTCGTGTAAACTTTATTAGTTGTAACTGAAAATTTCAGACTCTCTAAAACGGTTTTCGTTGGTAGAACTTCTAAAGGATATTATATTCAGTGTACTAGATATGTGAAACTCCTCTCTTACTGTCAACTAAGAGAAACAAATAGATTTATAATAATTTTATATTTTCAAAGATTTTCTTTCCGAAATTACTGAGAAGTTTATGATTTTGGTAATGTTGTAAACACTGTCTCTACTTGATAAATGAATATCCAGTTTGGAACACATTTGCTATCTATACATTGACGGTTCATCAATAATCAAATGAACAAGCAGATTTGATAACTTTAAATATTATTAGTAACTTTCAGTGGGGCTAACTTATCCTTGTATTATGCATCTAGTCATAAGTTGGATCACTGGAGACTAATATGTAAAAATATTATCAACAACATTACATAGTTCCGAACGCATTATTTGCTTGGATCTGAAAAGGAAAACTGAAGCATCCTCAAAGAAGAGTTGGGTCGAATAGGTCCATGTTAAGTGGATAATCATAGGAACACAACCCTTGAAGTTATCATAAACTAAAGTTAAACGTTTTAAAAATGCTGAGAAATTTTAGCGACTTAAAGAAAACCTGAAATAGGTAAATTGGGCAGATAAAATTTGGAAGGACTCATTTATTGAAACCCGTTTGAGTAGCAAGATTTGAACGAATGCGTAATTTAGGCCAGAACGTATTACGTAGTATCAGTTTTGTGAAGGTCAAACACAAATTTTAATTCCAAAAACATAACTGCTCTTAATTATCATGTTAATCGAATAACAGTAAAAATCATCTAATATTAACGCACCTTTCTTCAAGTGCTTTAATTTTTTCCTCCGTTTTCTTTGTAATTGTTTTATGTTCTTCTAAAAGTTCTTCACATTTCATATGAAGTACTTTTTTCTCTTCAATTAATTCATCAATTAATTTGTAATTTCTATTAATTGTACATTCATATTCAGATTTAAGTAGTTCTATTCTTTGGTCACCATCTCGCTGTGTGTCTTGCAACTGCCTGAAATATAATTCTCTTTGATGCTCTATAATTCGCTGTAAGCGTTTTATTTGAACTTCTTTATCTTCAAGTTCCAACATTAAAGTTTGGTCGGAAGTAGTAATTTGTCCATCATCGCTTTGAGGCGTCCGCTAAAAAAATGCATTTAAATTAAGGGAAGCTTTGCAAATGAAAATAGGTGTTTTGCAAAGTTTAGCCGTCAGTAAATCATATCTCAGGAATTATGTAACACATAATTGAGCAAATGATTTAGTTTAGGAATTTCATTTTATGATTACTGATTGCTGTACACGAACCTCAAGGTAAAATAAAAGTTCATTCAAACTATCAAATAATCTAATTCAAACTCACTAGCTTCTTAGGTAAAGAAACTGAAGGTACAGAACCATACGTAGCTTGAAATCAGTTTTTAAACACATCCATTTAAAGGTGTCAAATAATTAGCTACTGAGTTCGATGATTATATTGTAGAAGAAGGTATAAGCATTGAACAGAAGGAATGTAGCTAGTAGCGTATTCCAGGAGGAGCGTTTCGTTCTATTTAGGACCAGTCAAATGATTGTACCTGAATCTCAGAATTGATATTTATTTCGGGGCACAGACCCAGTCCTGTTCGCTTCAAACGTCATCGAGTTATTCACTTAGCTATTGAGTTCAAATAGCGACCCACTTGTGCAACAAGTATGAGTTTTAACCCGATTCGAAATGGTTTGGGTCAACCGATTGTTGATATCTCTGACTGAAATTTCACCACACTTTGTTGGCATATATAAATCCAGGGAAGACTGACTCAGTATGGCCATCACGGAATAATTTGATGTGGAATAGATGGAATATGACTAGCGGTGAAATTCAGGACGTGTGTTTGAAGCGAAATGTGCTGAATCCGAGTCGTGAAGTGAACTGCAACCCTGGAATTCAGGTATACGCAACCTGTAAGCCCCAAGTGGAATGAAACGTGTGTCATGGATTCCACTGTTAGCTACATTCTATCTATTTATAAAAACTTGTCATCAATGTTATATCGAGGCACTTCGCATAGGACGACCGTATACCAATTTCATTCAAAATACCGAAAACTGGTTGATTTGAATTGTTTTAAATCTAACTGAAACGTAATTATATCACATTTTTGATTACAGAAGTTAGAAATATTTTAAAACTATGATTTCTACTGAAATAGTAAACCTAAATCATTCAGAAAACTTATTATTCATTTAACAGTTGAATAGGTATAACTCAATAAAAATTTCAGACCGGTGAATCAAAGCTTACTTAATTCAGGTAAAACACCATTTCGCAGTTATTTTCTGGCAGTCCTAAATATCAAATTCTTTTGTCGATCAAATCATTCAATCTTACTATTAAGCAGAGAAAATATATTCTTTATTCTGATTTCAAACTTATTTTTGTTTACTATCAGTAAATATATTTTAACTTTAGTTATTAGTTCACTTAGAAATTCCTCTTTCTATTGAATGAAGGTCTCCTGGGTCTGTGGTGCTGTGGTGCGAGCTACTTATAAGTAGTATATGACGTGAGTGTCAACGTAATGTCTGGCAGCCGAAGATGGGGGGAAGATCAAGAAAGGAAGAGTTAGAAAACAATGGAGTTTGTATGAAACGCATGAATAGTGACAATGGATTGATGGTTTGCAACAGGAACAGTCCAGTTCGATATGATGAACTGTTATTTTGCAAATGAACGATTCACGATATGGTTTTCCAATTTTACTGAGTAACTCTGTAATTTTCGTTAAATACAGTTCGGTTGCCCCACCTGTGTTCTCGTTCACGACATCTGGTATCGCTGCCTAAGCAAAGGATGAAGATTCCATGGCCGAAGGATTTTGAGGATGGAGATGTGCGGAGCTTCCTGAAGGAGTTTGAGGCCGTGGCGGAGCTGGTGGGGGTGAAGGAACCGAAGGCGAAGTTGGTGATCCTGGGGACGCTGCTGAGAGGAAGGGCGAAGACCGTATATGACATCTTGGACGGTGCTGGCGGGAAGACGCCATGGGAGACGGTCATTGAGCGGCCGATGGTCGAGTTCGACAGCCCGGTGGACAGGGAGGAAGCGTTGCAGAAGTTCCGGTTGGCGAGGCTGTCGGCTGATGGTGACCCGCTGGTGCTTGCTGTGGAGCTCACAAGGTTGCTGCGCCGTGCGTTGCCGAATATCGATGAGGAGTCAGAGGCACAACTGTTGGCGTCGCAGTTTATTGAGAGTGTGCCTGCCGCTGTGTCCTAGCAGCTGAGATTAGTAAATGCAGCACAACCTATGGACATCGGTGAACTGGCGAAGGTGACTCGTCAGCTGATGACACGAACAGTAGCTCCGGTCGGGTGCGAAAAGCAGGAGATAAATACTTTCGAGAAGAAGATTGAGGAGTTAGAGCGTGAGATAGCAGAATTACGAGTTAATCATAAAAGGAACGATAAATGTTACGCTTGTGGAGGGGCAGGACATTGGAAGATAAACTGTCCACCCTAGGAATCGGGAGGTTCTTGCACTAGTAGATAGAGGGGCAATTTATGCCAGAGTGTACATAAATGAACAGGAGTTAGTGTGTTTGATCGATACAGGAGCAGCTATATCGTTAATAAGCAAAGAGCAATGTAAGACAATCAAACCATGTACATTAGCTGTCCACACCATAGGAGGTCATATGCTAGAGGTGTTGGGGGTATCTAACAGTATTGTAAAAATGAGTGGAGCTGAGATAAATTTTCCGTTCGTGGTAACCACAAGCTTATCGAGACCGATATTAGGAGCAGATTTCCTAAGAGAGGTAAAAGCGATAATTGACTTGAGAAGCGGTAAAATGGTCACAAAGTACGGTTCATTGCCAATACACGAAAGTAGCGAAGTGGCTGAAATAAGGATGACAACGGACGTCTCGACCAAGAAACCAAACATTAATGAGTTATGCGCAAAGTATGCGAAACTGTTCACTGGAGATGGGGAGCCATATGGATTTTGTGACAAAGTAAAGCATGAAATTCCTATAAAGAACGACCGAGTAAATATATTTGCAACACGTCGTGTTCCGGTGCATTTAGAGGCCAAGGTAAATCGACAGGTCCAGGAAATGTTGAAGGAAGGTATAATTGAGGAAGCAGACAGCCCGTATAGCTCACCGGTACTCTTGGTAAAGAAACCCAATGGAAAGTATAGATTTTGCGTCGACTTTAGAGAACTGAATAATATAACAGACCTGAAACCGTGCGCAATGCCAACAGTAGTAGAAACATTAGATCGGCTACAGAATGCCACGGTGTTTACAGTGCTGGATTTACGGTCAGGTTATTGGCAACTACCTATAAAAGATAGTGATCGCAACAAGACAGCATTTACTATACGGGATAAACAGTATCAATTTAAACGAATGCCGTTCGGGTTGGCTGGTGCACCGTTCACACCAGCAACTAAAAATTTCTATAAAATTAGGTGATTAAGGTTTATATGTTACAAAAATATATGAAACAGGTAATGACTCATGGGCTATCCTGAAAAGAAAATCAGCTTGTATTTATTAAAATAAAAAATAGTTCTGGTCCTATTGTGGTGTACGCTACTTATGTTCACATAAGTAGTATATGGTATCAAATGGAAATCAAATGTCTGACAGCAAAAGATCGAGAAGGAAAGAATGAAACAGAAGGCGATTTGTAGGTAACGTAAAGTGAACTGAAGTCTGAACAGTCTAAATGAAAGAACACTGAAATCTGAAACAAATAAGGATTCGTTTGCAAATCATGATTCACGGGAAGGTTTTGTAAATATGCCTAACAACTCTGTGTTATCCGCTTAGACATATTGTTGATGTCCTCACCTGGGTTTTCGTGCACAACAGTATTTCTATGACTTGTTAAAATGCGACCCATTTCAAGATTGGTACCAGCTTCGATTTATGTTTCGAGATACTGCAGATTTTAGAAACAATGCATACTTATTTCAAAATATTACTACTCGTAAACTGGACATGGAAATTGGTGAAGTAGTTGAATGTAACAATTGTTCTTTTGCATAGATTTAGTTTATCATTGTATCCTGTAGAGTTTCAGCAAGCTTCAATCAGAACAGGGCAGGTTTAGTAAATACATACTGAATATGACAGTTAAAATACAAATTGTTATTAAGTTACCTTTATCCCATCCAGCAGTGGTACGCTATTATGTAGACTTTGTGTATTATATACCATATAATTTTTGTAAGATGATTTATTTTCAGATTTTGGTTCCATAGAATTTGTATGCAGCAAATAATTACTTGACAGATTCACAGGGCTCTTAAAGAGGTCAGATTGTAAAGATCTAGAGGTTGTTTGATTTTTTACAGAAGGTTTTTGTAATGTAGCAGAGTTTTGGCACTTAGAATACTTTGCGTTTTGATGAACAGTACCATTACTGTCATTTGATTTCGGAAGCATATGGCATACCTTATTGTGGTTTGACTGGATGAAAGTCGTCAATTTTTCTCGGCATTTAGATATAGACTGATGCAGTTCTTTTTGAGCCTTTTGCCGAGAACAGGCCTGCTCCACAAGCCTAGAAAAAAACAAGTCACTGAAATAATTTTATAGCTCACATAAATATGACGACGATCCCTTGGTAACTACAGTAATGATTAAAAACTTGCTTATTGTAGGAAACTGTAAAAATATACACAATGTTTTATTACAATCCTCATTAACATTAATAATTAGTTATTCTATGTAGTGATTACTTACAGATGTTCCAAAACCCTTCAAAGACAAGTTCATCTGTTCCTATAAAAGGGAAAACGTAAGCTGGGTATTGCGAATCCAAAACTTCACCTTCTCTGTGATGATAGCTTTAAACAATGTGAAGTGTTGAGCGCTAGTAACCACACGTATGATGATTTTACGATGGATTCAGACTGAGAATACTGAAACAAACTTTCAGATACTTTTAAAACGTCGCAATCACGCAAACATGATCACTGTTTTTAATCAGTTATTCTTTTTTATTAACAAGTCAGTAAAATTTTCTACTGGGCAATGCAAAATCTTATTTTTTTTTTAGAGAATTGTTCGCTAAACTTATAAACATTTCGAATGATATTTAACGTAACATTTAAATGAGCAGATTTATAGAATTCCTTATCTTAGTAATGATTTAACTTAGATCGTCAAACTCTTAAAAAGTAATAAGGTTACAGTTATAAATTAATCAAGTCTAATAATAGGTTTTTAAAGACGAAAAGTGTTTGAATCAAACTTTATAATTATAATTGCATGTATAGGTTGGTTAACGTAAAAGTTTCGCATTTGCTTTCGAATTACCACATATTAAGATCAGAAGTTTACTTAGGTCACACTATCAAGTGATTGACACTGAAGAGAATAGTTAATTAATATGAAATGTAGTAACAAGTACTATGGTTAGTATAATTTAAGAAATTTTACTTGGTATGTGAATGTAAATTCTCTTCACTTCTGTTTGTAATTACTGTCGATGGACCTAATGAACTTGATTGAGCAAGTAAAGAATAATTGGACAATGTAGAATCGTGCCGATTGCGAGCATTTTGTAAGTTTGTAAACTTTTGAACACTACTGTATTTTCTGGAGTTATCTGAATGAATTTCATCTTGTTCAGCCTCAGACAGGACACGATTAATATCTTTGACTGAAAAATTCAAAAAATGAAATTATCTTATTTTAATATTGTTCATGTAACACTTATTACTTTTAAAGAAAATATGTAAACAAAGGAAATACTTTGAATGGAGTAGTTCTGAAGTTTATATTATCAGCTAAACATTGAATTCAGTATAAAAATTAAAATAAGAGGAAAAGTAAATTTTTCTACATGATAATCAAGAATTAAACAGCAGTTCATCATACGTTCATCATCAAATTTAAGCCTAAACAGACGTTGAGAAACAGCCTAAAGACTGAAGTAATTTATGAAACCGAAGAGGTGTAAAACATATTTCATCATTAGGGTTATTCACCTATTACTTCCGAATAAATTTCACCGAAAAATATCTTTTTAGGTTAGTAATATATAACAAATATATAATACAACTGTCTTTTCCCAAGTTCTCCAATCAACACTAGCAATTATTCCTAACACTGTTTTCAGCAGTTGAGACAAAGTATAGACTAGGAAGACTATATATTCCATAACTCCATATGCAGTTGTTGTTAGTCACAGAACTTGTATAATTGAGAACTAAAAACCCGTCCCATCTTTTACAACCCATAACAAATTTTATTCCCTCTTAATAACAGTCCTTTTCAACTTATTTGACAGATTGAGATTAGAACTCCATAGTGTTACTTCATTTGGCGTCATATACCCGGTATGGCCAAAGACAGGGCTAGCTTGTTCTCCCTCCTACTGACTGCTTTCTTGTGGAACAAGTAATATCTACGAAACTGAGAACATGAAAAGCAAATATACGATGCTTATAACGGGTTAGTGTCTATAAGGATAGACCTAGAAAAGTTGCAAAACGCTGATTCTAACTTGATGGTGCTCATAAGCTCCAGGATCATTAAAGAAAAAACTGGCGTACGATACTATTATTGGTCACAAGCCACTATGAGACTGCATCTCCTTATGTCCCTTCACCTCTTTGTGGATAAGATAACTTTATCAGTCAGTTACAACGTAGAATTTCGAACGTACGTACACCACTTCAAGTTACCATATTATGATGGCACAGAGACGCAATTTTCAGTTCAAATCCCATAGTGTCAGATAGAGTAGAAGTAATAGCGATATGGCTCAGTCCACTTGTTAGTGCCTTCATGGATTTGTGCCGTGTTTTGGTCTAAGGCAACTCCTTATTTTCTTCAAACCTACTCCTACATCACACAACATCGCTCGTCGATGCAGTTGGTGTTTGGGCATATGTGACAAGTGCACCAGCTACCTCAATTGATGAACATAAACTACTTCATCAATTAACCTGCCATCCTTACCTAGTACCTGCTTCCTGACAACTACATTGCTTACTCGGTAGTCCCAAGATACACGAGTGGTGCATTGAAGACATCTGTAATCGAACACTAACAGCCTACAAATATCCTCACTTCTCATTGGCTATTTTTCACACCCATAGAGTAGGACGGAAAGAACTGCAGACGGATATCTCACCAACTCCATAAGTGATGAAAGTTCGCAAAAGCCAGTCGAACCTTCTGTATCCGTGCTGAGATTTCGTCAGACACTAGGCTGTCAGCACTGATGTGAATCCCAACATAAATGGAACGGTCGACACGCTCAACAACATTACTCCCTAACGCTAGTTCAGGTACAGACGTATAGCAATCCCGAGGCCACAGCTTGCATTTCCATGGGGAGAATCGCGTTCCGAACATTCTAGCATTGTTACTTAAGGTGTTCAGAAGACTGCATTTTTTCGGCGTCTTCACCAAATGGAACTAGGTCATCGGTGTGCTCTCAGTCAATAAGTGAATCTCCTGGTAAAACTTCAACTCCTGCAAAGTCAGACGATGAGTGTTATCTATAGAAGCATATGAACGACAAAATTGAATGAGAATGGAGACAGTTTACAACACTAATGGACATCACTTGAAGTAGTCGATTCCGGTGACAATTCGCCATAAACTCTTACTCGGCCAGTGGTGTTCGAATAAAGAGTTTGTAAATGGTTAATGTACCTCACTGGTACTCCTTTCAGCGCCATAAAACCACACGATCAACAGAGTCAGATGTTGCTTAAACGTCCAGGAATACAACTATTGTGTGACGTGTGAGGGTGTGTCTATATTCTAGAACCTGACGAAGAGTGGATATCTGGTCTATACATCCACGTCCAGGTCGAAAATCAGCCTGCTTTACTCGTGTCTGCTCTTCACTAGCTCTAGTAAGGCGTTCAAGTATTAATGAAGTCAATATTTTACACACTATATTAGTTAAACTGAGCCTCTGTGGTTGTCACAAGAGCACGTTTTTCCTCTCTTATAGACTGGGACAATCACTGATTGAGATCAGTCAGATGGGATTAGGTTCAGTTCGCAGATTCTAGTTAATATCTCAGTCAAGCTGACCCGTGAAATCGGACAATCATTCTTAGATATCTCAGGAATAAGTCTATCAGGGCCTGCTGCACTGCCTCGCTTTAGATTTCCTATATCCTTTTCAACTCCACTGAGGGTCGGAAGACTTACATCGATTCACTATTAAGGTTGACTGAAGATCGTGGGTAACCGAAGTGTGTCTGAAGGCCAGTTGAACTGATTTTCAAAGTGCTCTGTCCACTGACCCAATCCCCTGGATTGTAGATGAAGAATAAACCCATCCTTTTCCGAGATAGTCTCACAAACAATCGGATTCCTAATACCGGTTACCTCAATAAGTCTCAATCGTTATCTACTGTTACCTACTGTCTCTGTCCTTTTTATCTCTATTGCTTTCGCTACCCACCACTGTTTGCGATGATACCGTAGGCTTTTCATCAGTCTGCGATTAAGCCTTTGGATACGTCTTTTGGGTCAACGGCTCAGGACTTGGCTCCTAGGACAATAACTTGCTTCGTTTTGGGCATCTGAGCTGTATCCTTATCCACCCACGAATTTATCAATTTGTGTGGTGCAAAAATATTTATGTGCCCTTTTGTACCAAAGTTCATGCGTTTAAACAATCATAATTCATTATCAAACATGAAAAAACCATGGAAAGCAAATAAAAAAAACATTATTTAACCAGTTTATGAATTAAATCACATTATTAATTTTATTACATGAATTGTAAGCATACTGATTGATGAAAATTAAAACAGTATTTTAGTTCTGTCAATCGCAAATACTCTCGATTGTAATCAATGAAAGAATCTTTAAGCTAAAAATTGTATGTTATTATATCACTTCGTGATTGCAAGAAAAGTAGAAATGATTCCTTGGTTATTTATAAACTGCTGAAATAAATTGCTTATTACAACCTCAAATGTGACAAAATATGGACAGTGTATCACAACAGAATCCAGATACTAACCGGATTGATTTTTTATACTCAGTAAATGAGGATAATTTGCGTTAATTGAAGAGAATAATCAGTTGTTTGGAAATTTATAACTAACTTCATTTGAAGAGTTTAAGTACTGTGACAACTGATCAAACTCATTTCGTAAAGCAGATAGGGTCTCATCTCCTTCATCACTGTAACAAAGACAACACAGAAGATAATAGCTGTACACTACAGCATAACCTGACTTTAAACCGAATTTTCATTCATTCATATGTGATAAAGGCTACACTAGATCATTCAGCGCATACACAAACATCAAAATTTCAAAGTGATTATAACAGGATTAACCTACCCATTTCAGACCATGTATTTGGAGCGGCATACTTCTGCAGGGAGACTTGGTTTCGAACATTAATGTTGATACCTGGATCGTTGGTTAAGTATTCCATACTTTCTAACTGCTTTAATTCCTGAAGTATGTTGTCTACAGTTGATATGTTTTCTTCTTCAGATGCATTAGTTTGTTGGCTAAATGTCCTGTTATCCCCATCTTTCTGTAGATTGCAACACTCAGTCAGATAGTGGTTACTGTTCTCCCTAAAGATTTGTTCAGTCTCATTGCCTCGAGTTGGCTCCATTTCCTAAGACAGAAACGATGAAATGGCCATATAAATAACACCTGATGCACACGGAAAGCGGGTAAATTAGCCTAGACAGATACGCCAAGAGTATTTGTTATGGGTAGACGTCTGTATCCTGCATTATTTCTTCTTGAATAAGTCTCAAAACGAATTTTCATAAATATGGTTTTCCACAAGAAATATTGCTGCGTTTACCTAAATTTGTGCTAATAGCTGAGAAGCGGTGACATTTAAAACAATTCATATTTATTGATTTTTGCCGCATCCAGTGGTAATCTAGTCATTTAACACAGTAAACTATAGAAACCGCATCAGACCAGTTGATTTTCGTAGAAACTTTAAAACTATATCAGATTCTGATTTTAGGTGGTTTGAGGTAGCCAGTAGGAATCTTTTTGGAACCTAGGTTTGTAATAGCTAGCACTCGTTGACAAAACGTACCCGCAATTATAGGGGAACTGATGCCCTCTATGAAATCAAGAACCTCAACTTGAATAGTGGAATTCAGTCAAGGATAAGGACTAAGCAAACAAGGAGTTAATCACTGCCCAGAGATGTCTCAGTCTTAACCTTTTGAACTTTAACAAATATCCTTCACTCTTTGAACTGGAAATGACTATTCTTACTGACGATTTCAGTGACTCTAGCTTTAAGTTATTGTCTAAAAATTATGTATGATTTACTACACAATACCAAGAATTAGATATTACGAAGTGATCTATCTTTATTCTTCCAAATTATAGCGACTAATTTGGTACAAGTGTAGAAACCAGTAAAATAACAATTCAACACTTGATGTCAGATTACATAATACTATCAAATTATAAAAATTGATCTCAGCCTGCATTAATGGTCTGAAATTCTACCGCCTTCGTTAATATGTACAAATAAAGAATAATGCCCCTGTTTTTCAAGTAAAAAGTACTCAATAAATACAAAAGGATTGGACAAAAATCAATAGTAGGAATAACGTTTAATTTAAAGGATAGCTACTAAAATGTAGGAGTGTGTTATCAAGTTTTAATAATTAAAACAAGGACCGTTAAATTCTCCTAAACGACTTAGGAAAAAACGAAAGTTTACATCAATCACGGAGTTCACACTAATTATTGACTCACTTCAGCAATATGAGTGTCAGAGTTGTCAGTCTTAAACTGATTTGGTTTGATAGGAGATTCAGGTTTATTCAGAATGTTTGATTTGTCTTCATCTGTCTGGTCGTTTTGGGCACCAAATGCAAAAATCGATTCATGCACATTTTCTCCTGCGCAATCATCCACATATTCATGTTTTTGTGAACTCTTGATCGATTTATTTTCGTGCAAAATCCAAAGATTGTAACAAACAAATTTAATAGATTATGATTTGAAAGCAGAATTCATAATCACCACTCATGTAGATAAACAAAACAATAATCAAGCTTGTTTCATTCTGATATTTTTATACTTTTAAGGTGAAAATGACTAACCAAAGATTGGTAAGTAATAAGAACATCATTCACAATTCAAACTAATTAATTAATGAAAATTTATCATACAAATATTTTTCTGACCATATTAATGAATTCAATTTATTGTTAACCAAAAAAATGTGCATTTTCCCCAAGTCATTTTAGCGAACTCATCAGCCATTCTTTTAATGCAACCTAAATTAATCGTCAATATTGTAGTAATTAAAATTTCTTAGCCTGAAATACTTTGAAACTTGTTCCGTGAAAGACACATGTGGCATTGTGGCACAAACAGATTTATTAAATAAGATTTATACCTAGTAAATATGAATAATATGAGTTAAAATTGGTTATAAATAATTAATTGAGCTTGCTGAATAAGATGTTTGATAAAATCGGAAGCGAAATGAATAGCGTATAAATCGTAAAATGCTAAAAGTCAAATAAGTAGGTAATTCTTTAGCTTATATTGCATATTCATTGTCCGTCTTGCTTTAATTGAATCTATAAACATTTAATGAATACTTCTGTTAACTTTTATGAATGAAATATTATATTCCTATAACTTTCAGTAGAAGAATATGGTACATAAAAAATAAATGACTTTTTTAGATTGTATTTATCGAAAATTGTATTGGAACTACTAAATCGAACGATGCCAAAAGACAGTGTGCAAATACTGATAAATTTTATCAGCAGCGTCAGACGGAAATTATTTTGACGATTTCTTCAAGTGTCTGAATTTTCGCCACACGAACTGAGTAGTGCCAGATTCATTTCAGGCAATAAATTACATGCATTATGAAGTTGGCACAGATATTTCATTTTTATAATTACCTTATCAGTCACGAACTTTGAAAAGTAATGGCAATTATTGAAAAACATTTACCAGTTTTAAATTAAAAACTCTTAGTTACTTATTCACTTGGTCTTGTATGTGACCATATCTTATAGACTAATGATGAATTATTACAACTGATGTATTCTAGGGCAAAAGAAATCCAAATCTAACTAAATTTAGGGTTTAGGTTTATCCGCTAAACCAATAGTAATCAATAAATAAAAGTAAATGCATAGTAAAACAAATGTACATAGTAAAATCAACATCTTGACGATCAACAATTTGTTTTTAATTAATGATGACCAACTTTAGTAGCGTTTTGATGTTGCTGTTTCTTTTTCTGTTTCAACACATTTTGACGATTTTTTAATGGAAGAATCGTTTGTCCATTATTTATGTTCTGTTTACTTAATCTGCGTTTCTGATCGTCAAGCAGACGATACATTGTAGTTTCAGCTGTTAAATATCTTTTTCTGTGACGTCTCCAAAATTTCTGAATAGTAGTCGCTGCGGAATTACGTTGATCGTCATCATGCAAAGTTGAGGTTATTAACTCTACTAGAAAATAAATGTAAGGAAACCACTAAGTCTTTCTGTTTGAAACAATGAAGTAATTTTTTTACACATAGCTAATGGTCTAACAATAAAAAGGTTTTAAATCAGAATCTACTTGTCTATCATTAAATTACCATGAACAAATATGTCCGTGTCAGGAAAGTTTTATAATATTCATAAATTTCATCAAATTTTATCAGCAACAATTAAGATGTCATTTAAACATATACCGGCGATAATTTATCGGTCTAACAGATCAGTTTTATGAAAATAAGCTTTCTGATTGTAAGCGTTTCCTTCTGGCCCTTACCCGTAGTTAAGTATCAAATTCTAATTTCCTGTTTTTCAGTTATTTTCAGCGAAAATGACCAGAGTGTGTATTTTAAATCGGTCACGAAGTTATTAAGCAGATCAACCTCTTCGACTTATAATCAACTCTCCATACTTAACATTGATGTGACTTTGTGTTTTACGAACCATTTTTTTTCCTTGTTGTAACAGACTATTTTACAATAATTCATCAGCAGCACCTACAGATCTCTCAATTGATGTAAACCCATTAAGAACGGAAGAGATCAGCATACCTATCAGACAAATCAAGAGTGGTAAGACAGAAGGACCAGACAACATACCAGCAAAGGTATATAAAGAGGATAACAATAACGGCAAAGTTATTCCACACTCTCTTCAGAAAGATTTTGGGGGAGGAACAAGTAATAACAGACAGGAAAAAAGGACACGTGATCAAGATACTAAAGAAAGATCTCAACAAATGCGATAACTACAGAGGCATCACATCCCTGTCAAATCAGCAGAAGTTTTCAATGTAGTGGTGTTAACCCAAAAGAAAGATTCTGTTGATACCCAACTTCAGGGTCAGTAGGCTGAAATCCCTGAGGATTGATCACCGATCATTGATGAACAATTAATTGAATGGAACATCAAGCATTTGACGGCGTGGACAGGGGAACATTTTGGAATCTTCGACAATATGGTGTGCCTGGGAAGAAAATCAACGTCATACGAAATTCGTAGGATGGATTAAACTCCAAAATCGTGCATGGAGGGAGGCTCAAGGACCAGTGTTAGACAAGGTTGCTTACTCACACATTTTCTCTTTCTTCTGGTGGTTGACTGAATTATGAAGACCTCAACATATCAGGGGAAGCAAACAATAGACTAGACAGCTAAGAACAGTTAGACGATTTGAACCTTGCAAATAACCAAGTTCTTCTATTCCACACAACAACAGTGCAGTAGAAGACGACCAGTGAAGCAGCAGCTCCTGTTGCAGGTTCCAACATTCACATTTGACGGAGAAGCTTTGGAATGTGTAAAAAAGTACGGAACTAAGCGAAGCATTTCTACAAAAGAGATAATCTGGAACTCAGAACAACTACCTACGGTCAGAATTTTCAATACAAGTGCCTAGGCAGTTGTATTGTGTGGAGAAAAGACTTGGAGAATTACAGAAGTCATCATCTAAAAGATACAGGTGTTCATTAACAGTTATCTATGAAAAATAATCTGAATAAGATGGCCAGAAACCATCAGTAACAACCGACTGTCGTAGGTAAAAACCCGATTCCAGCTGAGGGAGAAATTAAGAGAAAGCACTAGAGGTGGATAGGACAGATTGGAGAAAGCACCCAGCAGAGTCACGAGGTAAACCCAAACTGCGAATTCTCGAAAGAACAATAAAAGAGGTAGATCAAAGAAAACATTGTGCCCAGAATAGGCAAAAGACAAGAAGATAATGAATTGCAATTTCGAAGAACTGGAAAGGAAGGCCGAGGAAAGAGTTGATTGGAGATCGCTGGTCGATGGCCTATGATTCACGAGCGATCACAGGAGTAAATAAGTATAATGGGTATAAATTTTCCAGTTTTCTATTTTTTATGAGCTCTTTACCTCTGAAGAATTTGGCATCACGAGATAAATTTAACTCAAAATTTCGTGTGCTTATTTATTCTAACGCTAATTATTAGACAAAATTACACTACTATTCTGGAAACTTCAACCTTTGAAATAATGAATTTAAAATAATTAGTAAAATAACTTGGTAGATAAACGCAAAAGTCTCTACATCAAGTTAAAAATTAAGCAAATTAACCTCCCATTTTGAGCAGTTAAAGACTAAAAGTGTGAATAAACAACTTTTCCAAAAGTAATGAGAGAAATATTCAGTTCATTCATTAGAATATCAAAAATTTATTACTATTCGTCTCTTTGTTTATAGTAGCTCCAGTCAGTTTACTGTAACCAATATTATTTGACTTCCTAAACAATTTAAAAAACTAAAGTCTACTCAGTTCGTTTAAATGAGCTATTCACAAATAAAATGCAAATTATCAAGGGATGAGTGCAACGTACACATAAGGACACTTAAAGAGTGGTACAATATAGGAACTCTCTACATATCCATGTAGCTTCAATTTTAAGGTAAATGTAAACCACAGGTAGCATCTTTGAATAAGGAATAGATTAAACGAAATTTTCAAAAAGTCAGTCAAACATAGAATTATATGACAAAATATAAATTCGTTTATTTTCAGAAAAAACTATTTGTCTCAACTTACTTTCATCATTAGAATTACTTATCTGGCGTGCTGTGTTGACTGAATTCGATGAAGGCCTAACCAAACATGGAGGTGGGGTGTCTATTTTATCATTGATATCTGAGTACTGTACATCACCATTATCACCTGTAACTTTCTTCAGGTTCATAATGATATCGGAAAACTTTGGATTAATATTCACGTCTAAACTATCGACTAATTTGTTTAAATTTTGTCCAGATTTGAAGTTTTCATTTGTTGTGTTTGAATCTAGCGTTATACTATCATCCTAACCAATTTAACAAGTAATTAAACAAAGGAAGTCAGTAAGTACTAAAGGAAACCATGAAATAAAGAACCTATTTATCATGCGCCGAGCAAAGAATACATGTAAACTTCGACTAAGAAGGTAATTCTTAGAGTATTCCAGTTGTTAGTTGGAATATACATTGCTGATATTATTAACAGCCCCACCAATAAACTACAGACGCTGAAAAATATTACAAATAAAGGTTACTTTTATATCAACGTATCACAGAAATCATGCCCCTACATCTTGACAAACTAACAACCAAGAATATATTTTTCTTACGAGGAAATCAAGAATAGCTCCATAATTCTGTTCATTTTTCAGCTGTTATTTTGAATAGAATGATGATATTTAAAATGAATATACTTATTTAAGAAACATCATCCTGGATTTGAGTAGTTTGACGAAAGTCCAATAATTTTTTATCCTCATAAGTATTTAAAAGAAACAAATTCACTAGACCCATAATCTATTAAATAATTACTGCACGGTTGATTTTTTAAGAATACATATAAAGCTATTGGTTTTGGACCAAACACCTTGTCTAAAAGCGAATTTATAAGCGTTCTGATTCACCAAAAGTAATTTAATCAAATATTAATATTTTAACCACGGAAATTATTCTTCTGCTCTAGAGTAGCTAATAACTATATTCTTAAAAATTTATCCCGTAAATCAAAATGTAAGATTTGAATAGACATAGTAGTTGATAATTGACCACAATCTATAGCTACTTAAAAATGATATCAAAGTAACCATTCCGAGAAGTTTTATGGCAGATATAAAAGCTTGCAACATCGATAGTGAAGTTTCACAGACCTATCACAGTCAATATATCAATCAATTTATGAGAATATAAAACATTGCAAGTACATTTATCTCTCAAGGTTGAGACTAAGTAACTGATATGTTTTAACTTTAATATTTCCAGTATGAAATTTCATTACCGACAGCATCATAAATCAAGTCCAGTCTGAATTTGTAACTGAAAGTCAGATGAAACTGTTTATGGAAACTTAGATTTATAAAAGCTCATAAAGTGTCTTTCACAAAAGTATTTTCCGAGGGTGACATTCCGATTGTTAATTTTTATAAAATTCACCAAATTTACTAAATTTATGCAGTAAGAAAGTCCGTGATATGTACAACAGTTATCCTCTGCCATTATTTAGATATTTACACATATCTTGCATCCTGTAAAGGTAGTTTTATGCGCAAAGTAGTGTAATAACTGTTTCGACTCTTCAAGAAATTCACTTATTATAACTCAAATGAAACTTAAGATGCACCCTTACACTACACTTTAAACTGTGGATCAGACTCTTAACTATGGTGGCCGAAGACTCCACTGACAAACCTAGTATAATATACACTACAACTTAGATCGGTCACCTCAAAGCACTTTGGATAAAGCCTTTCAAGTAATTTGCTTGGATTAACCAGTAAGCCCTAGTGTTTATGATATAATCGTATAATTAATCGAATGTAAAAATTGGCAGAAAATACGTTTAAAAATTGTTTGTTTCAATTAATGCGTTTTTACTTACACTATATAAGCTAGCCCATTTAAAATCACTACCGTTTTGATCATGAAAATGTGTTTGTAGCCATTTTGAAACATTTTTATCGTTCGAATTACTTGACAGTAAATTGCACCGATCTCTCCCTAACGTCAATGAATCGGTGTGACTTAAGCCGTTTTGATCAGTCCGCAGGTTTTCGTCGTCATCAGTGAATAAATTGTTAAGGTATTCTGACGTCTGTTTAGCTGATGCTGCTGAAGTGCTAAACGACGCTTGTAGGCCTTGAGAAGAATTTTCACAGTTCCTAATATTTTCTGTTTCGGTTCTGGCCCGGGAACTTCCCTAAAGAATAATTATGAAATTGATAACTTGAAGAAAAATGATACAAAATCAGATGTTTATGTGTATAAAATATTTACCATGTGTGATCTTTTGCATTCAATTTTAGCATTATGAACAGGCTAGCGATACTAACTTGTTACATCGTTCGGTGCTAGAACAAAATATAAAAATGATGAAACAAAAATATTTTTGACGTAAACATGCACAGTTTGATTAAAAACATTCACATCTTTGTAGGTTATTCTATTGTAAGAGAACTGATAGAAACATTTTAGTTTACAGTACCTTACTTTAATCGTGCAAATCCATGAAGATAAAAACAATGTATTTTTACACATTTGAAAACCAAAATATCGTAACAGTGCTCACTAGTGACTAGCTTCGTGGGGAAATTCTCGGAGTTCTAGTTGAGAAGACGTGACCAATGGAGTTCAACCCTGTCGGGTGTAGGCAGTAACTACCAAAGACAAATGAGTGAGGTCGCGCAAAATCCCTAGATCAATCAGAGTTAGACATTAACACCGTTGGATGCCGGCCCAGTGGTCCGATGGTAAGGCGTTCGCCTACAATGCCAAAGGCCCCGGGTTCGAATCCTGAGAGGAGCAGGAGTCGTGGATGCGCACTGTTGATGAGTCCGATACCAGGACGAAAAGGCCATCCAGTGCTTCCAGGTTTCTAATGGTGGTCTAACAATGATTTATTGATGATTTCAAATGTGTAAAAACGAAAACCTCCAAAACTTTGCCCCAAAGTATTTTTAGTGATGCTCCATTCTGTTAGATCATTGGTTCGAATTTGTATCAGTTATTGTTACTACAAAGTAATCATTTCTGATTGAATATCGGAATAAACACGGTAAGTTACGACCGGTGAATTTTAGCTGAAAATATCAGTAATAGATCAAGCAATTTCTATCCACTAAATAAGTAGACAATATTTGTAGATAGTACCAAAATAGGTGAGGATGAACTTGAAATGATGTAAACAGTTGGGTAATAAATACACACGCAATTTTATGCATTAATTAGAAGAAGAAACATTCTAAAACTTGATATAAGATTGATAAATATTCGGCTGATGTCGAAAAAGTTAAAATATGGACATACAGAGAGGCTTTGATTATTTATTATACGTAGTGCGCATTCAGAACAACAATTAAAAAGTTTATCGATTACCAAACTGAGGTTTAACACAGAAAAAACTTAATCACATTAGATGAATGTCTCCATCGACGAACGATCCAATGGTGAGTAACAGGCTATTTTGTGAGTTGACTGTTTCACGCAATCCCTAGTTACTTCAAACATATGATAAATCAAAATTACATAAAACGCTTCCGTGCAGAAGTAGGGAAACTGTTGTTAAAAATGGGTTTCCGTTTGGATAACAGGCTCTAGGTATAGCAAAGTATGTGGCCGATCTTCACGAGATTTATTATCTTTACTGCGCATTGATAAACCAACATAATTTACGTTAGAATCAGACATGAAATTACTCTTATAAGGGCCATTTATACAAATAACAGAACAAAATGCTATACCTTTTATTCGTAAAATTTCAAAAATCGGTGGATAAAATGCATATCTGTTATTTGCTTTTTAATCCACAGATTTCAATAATTTTTACTCCTTTTGGAAGCTAATCATCATCTTTATAATTCATATGATAAATTCATTGGCTAGCCTAATTATGAAACCACCTGGATTATCTTGTGTTTTTAGAAAAAAGCTTGTACATTTTTATTACCATTTATCTACCAGAACTGGAAGACTGAAAGCTTAGAGTGTCGATTTTTGTGGCCTAGATTTATTTAGAAGAACAGCCATGGTTGATTCTAAAAACGACAAGAATTAGGATAGAGATTATGAATATGAACAGAATATAATTCGAAAAAAATAGTTGCTGTAGATCAGCTCAGTGACTAAGACTCAACATTTCTAAAACCTCTAAAGTTGTAATGAAAACCAGATGGTAATTCCAAATATTTTGAACATGAAAAGTCGAAACTGTGGTTAAAAGCTCTGATTGATTAATTGTACAGAGTACTTGACCTGAAAATACAAAAATTTGAAATGAATCTAAAAAAATATGAAAACTTGGTTAAAATTACGTTTTACTAAATGGAACACAACCTTTAAGTCTTAAACAATCAAACAGTTACAAAAAAATTTGGAGGTCTGAAAACGCACTCCATTAATGATAGCTTATGTATTATAACCTAAATTTCCGAGGCATTTCTTTTTGATTCGTTGTCTTCTAATTTTCGAAAAGTATCTTCCCGAGAAAAACCAAGGGTCCAAGTTATTTTAAAAATATGTTTATTCAAAACCAAGACCTCATGATATTTTGGTGCAAAAACGTTTCAGAAATTACATTATAAGTCCTTGATGATAGCCGATCACTGTTAATTGCTGACTTAGACAGGCTTATTTGTGACCCTTTGAGACTTAGGTTCATCATGTTTACATGTTCCTAAGATATTCAAAATATGCAAACTAGCAATAACCTTCAAAACGTCGTATTCACTATTCAATATCTTTTTCCCGAACTAGTGTAAACCAATTGATTTTTCTGCTCGGTTCGGTACGGTTGCAGGTGTTTTTAATGTGAGATGGATGGAGGTCTAGCCACTGGACTTTCTAATTCGAGTCAGTTAGCATTTGATTGCGAGTTTGTGTGTCTCGGGATTTGAATGAAAACGTTTGTTTCAGGGCAGTAGGGTTTCTGGATACCAGCAGCCGTCACATTACCGGACCGTAGATCAGTTAGTTGCAATGTGGAGTGTAGTAAGGATAATAAGGATAAAATTCTAATGCTAATATGAATAAAGTTTCAGAACTGAGTAATATATAGATGAATTTAGTTTGTTATTTGATAGTCAAGATTGTGAGAGAGGACCGCAGTGTAAGCAAGGGGGATGGAAAAGAGGTGAGAGACAAGATGGATTAAGTAAGAGATCTAAGGAGATGGTAATGATAACAACTAGTAGGTCTCAAGATATGCATCATGAACAGCTTGTGTAAGAGGGAGACTATAGTCCGTATGTGAGTACGTGTTTATCAAGCCTCTTCTCAAAGCTGTCCAATGATGGCGCTACGGTGACCTCCGCGGGGAGTCTATCGTCGTGAGGCTTGTTTTTCAAACCTATCACCCATTCGGTTTCTCGTCTCTGTATTCGATCCAACAGATTTATGTCTCTTTTAATCAGAGGGGGTGCGATGACATTGTAAACCTCCAGAGGTGAGCACGCGCACGTCTTAAATAGTGTCAAAAATAAGTGCGGGATGAAAGCACCAAGTTGTCTTCGCATAAACTGAACAGTCGCATTTGCCTTGACTGCGTCTCCTCAGTGTTGGAGGAGGCTTTCAGTGGTTAATAAACGGAATGCGCAGGACGTGACATTCAGACCGGTTTACTTTCAAACCGTTTTTCACCACCCATTCCTGAATGGATGTAAACTCTTTTTGAAGCTTAGTCGAATCATCTATGCTTCTAATGGACCTCCAGATCTTCGCATCGTCTGCGTAGATCAATACCGGTGAATCGACTAAGCCTAACAGGTCGTTAATAAATATCACTAAGGGAAGCGGACCTAAGATGGTCTCCTGTGCAACTCCCGATGTGGATACTCGCCTGCACCCTATTTACCTTGGTACGAAACTTTCTATTCTCAAGATAGTTTCTGAGCCATGATAGGAGTGGGTCAGTGAAGCCCTTTTCCACAAACTTTTCGATTAGTCCTGCATGAGGCACTGTGTCAAAGGCTTTTGCAAAGCCGAAAAATATTACTTGCACCGGTATTTTACGGTCCGAACAGGATGTCCAACTGTCCCATGCAATGAGAAGATTAGATGCACACGACCTGCCTTTCCGGTGCTTAGCTTCACTGAGTATTTTATTCATATCCATGTACTCCCTCATTTGTTCGTTCACCAGCCTTACCATTACCTTTGATAGTATTGGTAGTAATGCGACTGGTCTGTAACAGACTGGGTCTTTTCTCTCTCTTCCTTTGAAGACTGGAGACAGAGTAGCTTTTTTCCACTCAGCTTGCAGTTGATGTAACTCCAGTGAATGCATGAACAGGTCACGTATCGGTAAACATAGGACTTCTGCACATTGTTGCAAGACTATGGGGCGGATTTAGTCACAACCTGGTGACTTACCTGGGTATAAAGGTTTTTAGTTTCCTTAGTACTAAGTCAGGAGTGATACGGATGTTTCCTAGGCCGTCAGTTAGCAATGGGTTGGCGTAGTACTCTAAACATGTGGGCGCATGATTTAACTGCTCAGAAAAGTTAAAGATCTCAGATCTAGGTTGGCGGGGTCTTCCCCGTTTGGTCCTTGATACACCACAACCCTTGATTAGTAGGTTTTCTTTCGGACATGAACCTGAACAGATGCATCGAGTTTACTTGTTTTTTTGTAGCTAGTTTCGTCCGAAATTGTTTCCTATCACTTCAAATTTTGGTATTGCATCTGTTTCTCAATGCCAAGTATGAACTGCGATCGGAATCTTTGCTACGTGATAGCAACTGCCGTTGTAAATTATCACATGCCTGTACTTGATCCAATCTACCACCACCCCCCCAGGCACTCCATGAACTACCATACTGGTTCGTTAGCGGGAGTCTATTGATTTTCTGGCAGCAGCTAGTGCATGACTCGGGTTAGAGAGTACGGTTTAACCTGTTTTTTGAGACGCTAGAAAGATTCCTGCGGAAACGTGTGCAAAGTCAAATGTTACCCTCAACAGAGATGGTTTCCCATCAGCTACGTTCTAACCCTAAATAAAACGGCCGTTTTAGCGTTGCGCAGTATTTATCCCATTACTCGTCATCAAAAACAGCCCCACTTTGTAGTAAGCTACTCCTCAACACTGGAACCCGATTCAAAGATGGCGAACATTGTCTAAGGGCCCTGTCACTGATTTGTAGCATGATTTTACCATTTCCCCCTAACTTTAACCCTATGCTTTCAACAGATATTGAGGTACAATTATTAATCAATGAATTCATCAGTGAATGAACCTGGTTTTCCCGTTCCTATCAGCATTTTACCTCCATTAGAGCATAAGTAGCTGTCCAGAATTCTGCAGCCTACTCTATCCTGAAGTTCCCTTTCTAGTTCTGTCCAGTTGCTGTTCATTCTTCTCATGTCTGTCTCCATTTGTCGGCGAGTTGTGTTTCTTGACCTTGCTCTTTTCCTTTGGTCTTGAGAACTTCATATGAGGGCTTTTCTTGTGACACAGTTGGGTGCTTTCAGCAGTGTGTGTCCTATCCACTTCCTGTGTTTCTCTGTTATTTCCTCCTCCACTGGAATCTGGTTTATTCTATCC